GAGTGCTCGTTATTTGTCTATTCATCTTGGAACCAACTGAACTGCGATTTTTAATCTATTCTTCAAGTGGCGAAGGGCTTGGTTGATTTCCACCAAAATCCAAGCCCAAGCCAAAAGAAGCCATTCTTCGGCCAAGCCAGAAAGTGAACTCTCGCGTGACTGCACTTTGAATCCGGCGTGCTCCTGCCACCGGAAGAGCTCCTAGAGTCCTCCATATATTCAGCATGATAATGGAGGAAGGAAGCGGACGTGGTGCGCGGCGCACTGCTGCAATTAATTCGAAGACTGCTCCGACTTGAAGCAGTTAGACGGGGTTCGACTCCCCGCGTCCGCAAACGTAATGGTGCTGAGTGGACCTTTTTTTGCCGCAGGGGAAGCTGGTTTAAAGTGAAGTGAAGTCGAGACAGAGGCCAATATGCTGCGTCGTGCACCGGCTGCGCGGATGGAAGTGATTGCACTTTGAATATTGAACAAGACATGCCGTCGCTACGCTCCGGCTTCTTACTTGTTCTTAATGCAATCTAATCTAAACCAAGATCTACAGGGAGAAAAATTCGGTCCAGCTCTTGTCGGAATCTAGTTACATAGTATAGTCTCAAGGAGATGAAATAGAAGCATTGTTTATTTGAGTGACTGAGTGAATACAAATCCGAGCAAGGCCATTCTTTGGGCTCTTTGCCCGGCTCACGTTTCGAATAAGATGACATTACCTGCGTACTCCGTGAATAAATGTCCGTCGCTTGTCTGCATTTTCCCTCGTCTGAATGCCGTCCGCCACACTCAGCGGGTCAATTCGCGCACTCACCCTTCGAGCATACACTCCATTGTTACTGAGAACAAATTCTTGGCTTCGATGCTGGCCGTCCGACGTGAGCACGCTGTATGCAGCTGCTGTGTATGAAGTATGGAGCATCTTCCATCAACGGCAAATTGGTCGACAGTTATTCCACCTACCATGCGTCACGTCCGCTCTGCGAACGGCCAAAGGAAGAAGTTGTTGGATACGTGCTGAGTCAAGCGCGAGTTTGCCTAAGTGCGCTTCCCATACACGTCCGCGTGTACGTGTGGGAGTACATGCAGAACTATACTTGGGCTGGTAGAAAGGAATGAAATCAGTGAGGCATCAGGGAGATTGGAATTGAGTGCACACCAACTATTAGTGAATACTCGCGCGCCTTCAAACGGAGTCTGGCACACGCTGTGAGATACCAGTAATTATCACAGGGATGGTGCGAAGGTTGTTAATTGTTCACCAGTGGGAAGATCGTTGCGCGCAGCGTAGTCAGAGGACTTACCCGCTCATGGTTTGTATCATAGCGCGGACGGCCACAAAATATGAAGGTGATCAAAGGCGAGGCAATTGAAAGAAGATACTGCGTACTTTGGACGAGACGATGAGGATGGGAAGCTTGAACCCCGGTCTGTCCGCATTTAATGCGGCGGTTTGCGGTCTCGTCCGATTTCCCGTCTGAGGCGGGGAGTGCAGCTAGAGCATCAGCTGAGATGTGGGGTCCGACTCGGGTATCCCGATTGGAGTGCATACCTTGTGCGAAGGGGAAATCAGCTTCGTTGTTCAGTGCTGGCAAGCATCGAGCGGCGTTCCTTGATGGCCTTCGCTGGGTGAATACAAAGATAAGGGATGGGGTATCGGGAAGGCTCAGTGCTCACCATTGATCTCGCCGTCGTCCAAGTGAATGGTGGGTGGAGGATATGTTCAATGTTCATCGTGTAGACCTGTGTGAGGATATTCGCGTGCGGCGCGGACCGCGCGGTGGCGTTCAAATCCCGAGGATCGCTGGAGGCAAAGCGGAAATAAGGAGGAGTCGAGGTAATTGTAAGAAAATACGACATGGTAAGACGTGTCGCTCTGGAATACATACTCGCTGTCCACCTCCTTCAGCCCACACAGGGCCAAAGAGGACGTCGCCACGCGGGCGATAACGCCACTTTGCGGGGCAACCTCGCATGCATATATGCATCTCCACCAACGGGCGGGGGAAGGCTAGTACAAAGAAATAAGATCAGTTGATGCATCGAGGGCATATGAGTGCACACCGCAGGCAAGACGGCGGGGATCGCGCTTGAAATTGTCCTGGAATTCCGACGGGTCACGACTCGCACCTAGACACTTCTTATCTCCAAATGGGACCGACTTCGGGGCGCGCTGTGAGATCAGGTTAATGAGTAAAGATGGCGGAGGAGATGTATTGCTCGGACCCGTGGGAGGATCGTGAAGGTAGCTGAGGAGCTGGTCGGGAAGCGATGCCACTGGAAGAGGTGAGGTGAGTGTTGATCTTGCGCACCAAGGACAATGGGGTGGGATGGGGGCTGCAGCGTTGCGCGAGTACGGCGTCCCACGACGGCTCCAATTCTCGGTCAGAGGCAGCGAGTATCACGGCTACAGGGACATCTGAGATATGTGGTCGTGCACCCCAATTGGAACACCTACTTACCTTGGGCGAAGTGAACATTGGCTTTGGAGTGCTGCCAGACCCACGGTGGGCGGCGGGATTGAACTGCCTCCGGTCAGCGAATACAGTGACGATGAATGGGACATGATTAAGAAGAGTACTTATGCCTATGATTGCTACTACCAGCGTCGTTCCAGGGGGAAGGCAGTGCCTAGCGGTGTAGTTTCTGAGGAAATGGGGGAGGGGGAGATGATGGTAAGAGGGCAAGAGGCGTACAGGACAGTGCTTGTCTTTCTATCGGCTGTTGAGCGGTTGATTAACTGTTGTGCGCTGGTACACAGGGCGGCTTCCGAAGTTAATTTGTGATATATGGAGTCAACTAAAGTAAAACCAACCACAAACGGGGAAATTTCGGATCAGGCCAAACAGGTGCACTCTGATACGAGGCATCTGCTTAATATACGAGTAATCCTGCGTGCGCCTGCCACCGGGTTTTCAAGTCGGAAGAGTTCCTAAAACCTTGGGTATATTCACCTCATGAAGGGAGGAAGAAAGCGGATGTGGTGCACGGTGCACCGCTGCACTTATTTACAAATGAGTCATGATAGCCTTGAAGCAGCTAAACGGGGTTCGACTCCCCGCGTCCGCGTAGTATTGGCATGTTGAGGTTTTCTTTTTTGTTCTTTTTGCGGAGAGGGCCAGCCCCGCGAGTTGAAATGTAAATCGCCTGCGGCTAGGCCAAGTGATACGGATAAGTACGGCGCCCGCTATATAAATCAATCCCCGGGAACTGATGTGAGGTGCTTATTCCCATTTAAATGTTTAGCAGCCGACGAGGGGCAGGACAGTGTGTTCGCTCTGGGATTCCCATTCGACTTATTTTAAGCAAGAGAATAATATTTCGGGGGCTGTACGAACTTTTTTCAAGATGTGTGTGGTGTGGAGAAGCTAATGGAGAAACCGGGGTTGAACCAAGGTTGAACCGCGCTGATGCGTCCGGTCACACCGTGGGAACATCAATCGTGCTCGCATGCTGAGCCAAGCGATGAAGCCAATTGAAGCAGTGGTGCACCGGGTCCGTGCACCACGCCCGCTTCCTCTCAGCATTTATGCGTTCAATATATCGAGGCCTCCAGGAAATTAATTCACACTGGGATTCTGAGAGGCAGCTGACGTGATGCACTGTGTCGCTGCGTCTTCAAGAATCAACGGGCGGCACAGTCCTGCCAAAGCTAGGTATATTGAACGCTTGGAGAGAGGGGGGAAGCGGACGTGGTGTACGGGGCACCGCTGCGAAGAATGGTCAATGATGAAGGCTGTCCACGCAATTAGACGGGGTTCGTCTCCCCGCGTCCGCCTAATTATGATATATGCGCACCTTTTTTTTGGCCTGGTTTTTGAGGCTCTTTCCAGTTGACGGTAGGTAAAATAACGGAGGATGCGGCCGTTATGGGTGGCGCACCAGGTTCGTAGATGGAAAGGAGTGGTTGCACCTCGCTTCCCCTCCTGGGGATGTCCAATACAAGAGTCCACCAACTCCTGAATATATATATCGAGCATGATACTAGAGCGAGGAAGCGGACGTGGTGCACGGGGCACAGCTCCAACCTATCATTCCGAGTGGACTTTGGAGCAGTTCTGGGGCTCGACTCCCCGCATCCGCATGCACCTCATCCCAGTCGTTTTTTATTTCCGTCGAGTAGGCCCGGAGCCGTCGCGGCGCGTATTTATGGTCTTTGCCCAACTTTTTGTGTGGGGTTTTGTTCAGATTTGATGCTAGCTCAATTCTGAAGGACAGGGAAAGATCCGAGAGAATGCAGACGTGCTGCGTCGATAGAAGTGGTTGCACCCCGAGGCGCGGAACGGTTTCCATGAGCTCCGGGCTTTGCAGTTCCCACGAATCTCCCTAATAGGAGGAGCGGAGGAGTTCCTAAAACCTTGGGGATATTCAGCATGATCCTAGAGCAATGGAGCGGGCGTGGTGCATGGCGCACCGCTGCTGCACATCCTGGGATAGTTTGTTGCACCAGCAGCTAGACGGAGTTCGACTCCCCGCGCCCGCGTACTGAACTCCTGTTCTTCCATTTTGGTCTCTCTTTTCTTTTTTGGTGTAGGCGGGTCGAGCTGACACAAGCTCGAGATACTTACACCCGGGGTAAAATGCAACCGCGCTGGGCGGCGCGAAGTCTTGGGGAACAGGTGTGCGGTTTGCAGCCAGAAGCGTGCGGGTTCATTGAGATCTGATCGGAGGAGTCCGAAAGCCCCGAATATTCTCAAGGCAGATGGAGAAAGGAAGCGGACGTGGTGCACGGCGCACCGCTGCAATTAATTCGAAGACTGCTCCGACTTGAAGCAGCTCGACGGGGCTCGACTCCCCGCGTCCGCATAAATGTGTTCAGTCGAAGTTTTTTTTTATCGGAGGATAAGCTGGTTTAAAATGAAGTGAAGTTGAGACAGAGGCCAATATGCTCGCGGGTGGAAGCGATTGCGCCCTCAATATTGAATCCTGCGTCCCCTGCCACCGGGTTTGTCAAGTCGGAAGAGTTCCTAAAGCCTTGGGTATATTCACCTCATGAAGGGAGGAAGAAAGCGGACGTGGTGCACGGCGCACCGCTGCACGTAATGCCAGAATTCGATTTTGACAGCAGCTGCAGGGGTTCGACTCCCCGCGTCCGCATAATGATAATCTCTATACCCCTTTTTATGGTCTGGTTTTTGTTGAGATTTGAGGCTATTTCCAGCTGAAGCTAGGTAAAATAACGGAGGATGCGGACGTGATTGGTGGCGCACCAGTTTCGTGGATGGAAATAAGTGGTTGCACCTCGCTATCTGTCCCGGGGATGTCCAATGAAAAAGGCCACCAGCTCACGGATACATTCAACGCAGAGATGGAGAGTGGAAGCAGACGCGGTGCACGGTGCACCGCTGCTTCATCTATATGCCTCTCCCGAATTCAGGCAGCTGCAGGGGTTCGACTCCCCACGTCCGCATAATTAGGTCGAGTCGACCTTTTTTTGTCGGAGGGGAAGCTGGTTTAAAGTGAAATGAAGTCGAGACAGAGGCCAATATGCTGCGTCGCGTACCGGCTTCGCGGGTGGAAATGATTGCGCCCTCAATATTGAATCCTGCGTGCTCTTGCCACTGGGTTTACAAGTCGGGAGAGTTCCTAAAGCCTTGGGTAAATTCCACTGAATAACAGAGGTAAAGAGCGGACGTTGTGCACGGTGCACCGCTGCTTCATCTAAATGCCTCTCGCAAATCCAGGCAGCTGCAGGGGTTCGACTCCCCGCGTCCGCTTAATTCTGTCGAGTCGTCCTTTTTTATCCGAGGAGAAGCTGGTTTAAAGTGAAGTGAAGTCGAGACAGAGGCCAATATGCTGCGTCGTGCACCGGCTGCGCGGATGGAAGTGATTGCACTTTGAATATTGAATCCTGCGTGCTCCTGCCACTTGGTTTTCAAGTCGGAAGAGTTCTTAAAGCCTTGGGTAAATTCCACTGAATAACAGAGGGAAAGAGCGGACGTTGTGCACGGCGCACCGCTGTAAGTAATGGCAGTATTCGATTTTGACAGCAGCTGCAGGGGTTCGACTCCCCGCGTCCGCGTAATGGTGATCTCTATACCCCTTTTTATGGTCTGGTTTCTGTTGAGGTTTGAGGCTATTTCCAGTTGAAGCTAGGTAAAATAACGGAGGATGCGGACGTGCTGGGTGGCGCACCAGTTTCGTAGATGGAAAGAAATGGTTGCACCTCGCTTCCCCTCCTGGGGATGTCCAATACAAGAGTCCACCAAATCCTGAATATATATATCGAGCATGATACTAGAGAGAGGAAGCGGACGTGGTGCACGGGGCACAGCTGTAACCTATCATTCCGAGTGGACTTTGGAGCAGTTCTGGGGCTCGACTCCCCGCATCCGCATGCACCTCATCCCAGTCGTTTTTTATTTCCGTCGAGTAGACCCGGAGCCGGATTCGCGGCGCGTATTTATGGTCTTTGCCCACCTTTTTGTGTGGGGTTTTGTTCAGGTTTGATGCTAGCTCAATTCTGAAGGACAGGGAAAGATCCGAGAGGATGCAGATATGCTGCGTCGATAGAAGTGCTTGCACCCCGAAGCGTGGAACGGTGTCCATGGGCTCCGGGCTTTGCAGTTCTCACGATTCTCCCTAATAACTTGAAAAGGAGCGGAGGAGTTCCTAAGATTCTGGGTATATTCAGCATGATCCTAGAGCAAAGGAGCGGACGTGGTGCATGGCGCACCGCTGCTGCACATCCAGGGATAGTTGGTTGCACCAGCAGCTAGACGGGGTTCGACTCCCCGCGCCCGCGTACTGAACTCCTGTTCTTTCATTTTGGTCTCTCTTTTCTTTTTTGGTGTAGGCGGGTCGAGCTGACGCAAGCTCGAGATAGACCCGGGGTAAAATGCAACCACGCTGGGCGGCGCGAAGTCTTGGGGAACAGGTGTGCGGTTTGCAGCCAGAAGCCTGCGGGTTCATTGAGATCTGATCGGAGGAGTCCGAAAGCCCCGAATATTTTCAAGGTAGAGATGGAGAAAGGAAGCGGACATGGTGCGCGGCGCACTGCTGCAATTAATTCGAAGGCGTTACCGGCTTGAAGCAGCTAGATGGGGTTCGACTCCTCACGTCCGCGTTCTCCAATCCGACTCCAATTTTTTGGTTGTGTTATCCTTCGTGGACCCCGTGAACGGGAGTTGCCTGCGGTCAAAGGCCCAGGTCTGAGGTTTATACGGATAAGTACGGCGGCTGCTATACAAATCAATCCCTGGGAACTGATGCTAAGTGTTTATTCCCATTTAAATGTCTAGTAGCCGATGATGGTGCCGGACAGTGTGTTCGCTCTGGGGTTCGTAGTATAAGTATCGCTCAACTTGTTTTGGCGAGGAGCAGAGGAGAGGATGGTTTGCGTGCAGTTCCGATGTGGTTGAAATCACGAAGGAATCCAGGTTGAACGCCCGATGCGCCCGGTCACAAGGCCGTGGGAAGATCAATCACGATCGCGTCATCGCCGGCGTCAACTCCCTCCTCTTCGCCTCCTACGCCGCCGCCCGCCGCGCCGTCTCGCCCTTTCCGACTCTCAGCCTCCCGCAGACGGCGCTCGCGGGCGCGATGGCGAGCGCGGAGAATGCGGTGTTGGCGAGTCCGGTGGAGATGTTCAAGATCCGCATGCAGGGCCAGTTGAGGGCCAGTACGGCACGGCGGGCGACCAGCGTCTGCGCGCCGTCGCGCGCGAGATGTGGGGCACGTGGGGGTTCAGGAAGGGTGTGATACGCGGGTATTGGGTGCGGTTTCTTTCGTGAAACTCTGCTGCACTGCGGTGTTGATGCAGGGTTGTGCCTCCGAGCGCGTCTTTCCGCGTCTTTTCTACGCCGTACTGGTTTAGGTGCTGATGAAAACCTTGGCAGGAAAGGCCGCTGGCGCGCGCTGTCGCCTTCACGTGCGTCCCTTTTCCTTTCCTTCCTCTCTCCTTATCCTTCTCCTCCTCCTCTCTCTCTCTTCCTCCTTCATCGACACTGCTGATTTGATGTGCGCGTTCTCAAATACTTCATTAGCTCCACTTAAGATCCAAGGTGAATTTATCGACAGCGCTACTTAAGTTTCAATAGCACTTAAGTTCTATCGCGCTACTACAAAGCATAGCATGCACCCTTGATCCCCTTATCTTCATTAGAACTTGAGTTATCAGTTGTAATAGGACTGAAGACCCTCGAACAGAACTTAAGATCTATGCCTTTCAAACTTAAGATGTGAGAATTGGAGTTCATGATTTCATTTCAGTTTATACATAGCGGGCATAGTACTCAGGCCTTAAGTTCTCTTCAGTACTCAAGTGTTTGGGTCCAGTTCTGTCCATGTACTTAGGTTCCGGCTCAACTCAAGTTCTGTAGAAGTACTACTTAAGACTCGAGGCACCCACTTAATTACTTCTTCAGACTGGGTCTTTGAACAGGGACAAGAAGAGGAGGAGTTTTCAAGGCCTTATATATATCCAACCCGGCCACCATGCCACCTGGACAAAGACAATCAAGCCACTTGAATCAACACTCCATTGTTCATCTTCTCAGAATGGCAATTGACCACACAATGGTCTTTAACGCACAATGAACACCATTGTGTCCAAAAGTGGGAACTGACACACAATGTGTGGCACAAGTGACAGTGACATGCTGCTCATACATATATAAGACCCTTGAAAGCCCCCTTCCCTTGGCTTCGTTCATATTGCTTATCAACTTGGAACTTGGAAGATATAAGTGACAAAACTTAAGTTTGAATTATATTTTATTACAGGACTCAAGTGGATGCCGGGGCTTAAGTCGCGTGCAGGACTTAAGTGATCAATGGGACTCAACTGGTAGGCAGGACTTTAGTGATCTGGCAAGACTTAAGTGGTTGGCGGAGTGAGGGAGATATGTATAGGCGGCAGGCCATACAGGCGTGGTGCATACAAGCACGGAACTTAAGTTCGGGCGCAACTTAAATGAAGCTCGTGAGGGACTCAAGTAGGGCTGTCGATGATTTCGCCCAGAACTTAAGTCAACCTGCTCTTATTTCATGCGTTCTAGTACTAAGAAAGTACGTACCCTCTCGAGCGACGCAGCAGAATGGGCGCTAACTGAGAGGCGGTGGTGGTGCGATATAGTATCCCGGCGGCGGCGAGCACATTTGCTGCGTTTGAGATTACAAGGGGTGCGTTTTTCTTCCTTTTCTTTCGTCTTTCCTTCCTTCGGATCCTTTTGTTCGTGTTCGGTGCGGCCCCTCGTAAGGCCCATCGTTTGTTCCGATCTCGTTCGGTCGTAGGGGCTGCCCGGGGCGCGAAGGCGCCACGAGCGAGCGGAGGGTTGTGCACCCTTGTTCACCTTTCATTGGTTGGGTGCTGGGCAAGCTCTTTCGTCGAATGTTGGGCACCAATCGAATCGTCTAAGAAATCCCCATCAAGTGCTGTTGTCTGTTTCGCAATATTCCAAGAATTGAACGTTTTTGAAGCACTTCTTGAGTCGCAGGACCATCAGCCACCTATGTTTTTTGTTGCACTTGTTTGGTGCATATCCCAGCTTGGTCACGTGCGATCAGTGTTCGTCCTGAAGGCCTTAATTTTGACTCTGAGAATCTTGAAGGCCTTCAGTCGAAGGGCACTTGAAGGCCTTCACTGATTTGTTACCACGCTTCCGGCCAAAGCCGTATTCGTCAACTTGAAGTCTGGACTCTGATTAAGTGTGCTGATATCTGATGCCTTTGTCCATTGCATTGCATCGACATTAGTGATGCCCTCTTCCCCTGCATTCACCATGTCCTCCACCAATGTGCCAACATCTCCTCCTTCCATCTGGTATTCGGGGTAGGCCTCGCAGTCAGTTTGAAATCGGGTTCAATTCTTCTTCGCAGGGATCATCCCGCGGAGAGGTTTAATATCGGCGTGTGAGGTGACGCGCCGCAAGAGCAAAAAATTGAACATTACATAATGTACACACGTGATGAGTGAAGGCCTTCTGAAGGCTTCAATCCTCTGCCAAAAATTCTGAAGGCCTTCACCCTTCGGGCGAACACTGGCGATAGGGTAGGAATGTTCGTTGTGCTCGCAATCATATCCCCAGGGGCGCCTGCTTCTCCTCCACACCACAGTGGCACCATCGCTCCAGTCACCTCGTCAGCCCCCAGGAAGG